CCAACACCAGCCTGACTAGCCAAGTGCAGGTGATCGACGGCAGAATGGCAGCGCTTGAGGTCAAGGTCGAGGAGCTTCAGGCTAGTCAGGCTGCCACTGAAAAGAGCTTCGGCAGCGTCTACATTAGTGGGGCAGAAGAGGATCCGCACCACTGGCACCACTGCCAGCTATGGGCATGGAGATGACATGGATCCGTGCCGCCTGTGGATCTCTGGCTATCCGCGTGCCGTTTTTGATGCTACTCGCCAACACACGTGGGCGCAGCTGCAATCCTCTGCGCCATCACGCCTGCTTGTGACCTCCGCAACCAAGTTCGCCAAGACCAGCCAGAGCTTCTCGTTGCACTTCACCTCAAAAGAGTTTGCCAATGAGTTCAAGACTTGGTTCATCGCTCAGGACTTGAAATGGGGTGACGCTCGGGATAGCAAGCCATACCCCCTTCGCATTCGTGCTGACCTTCCTGATGACGTTCGACATCGCCAACGCTACATGTCAAAGATGTGGGGCCCTGACGTCCAGCACCTGCGCAGCATCAACAAGTTCAGCAACATGCTCAAGGTTGGCGCAAACGCACACCGCATCCGCGCCGGGACCGACCACTTCGTGCTTGCCAAGGGTGAGGTGGACTCGCAAGGGCGGCTCCAGCTCAAACCGCGCGAAGATGACGTGTGCTACCGGGAGATCACCAAAGAAACCATGCAGCAATGTATTGGTGGTTGCCGTGAGCGACAGGCGACGCGACCAGCGACACCTCTGCCGAGCTGCTCAGGGTCTGCTGCCTGCGCATCCAGAGCATCGCGTGCACGGTCGGTCATGGCCTCTGGGTGGCGGGCCAGCTCATCGTGTGTTAGTTCGAACTCAATGAGTACCAACTCTGCGTCATCCTCTACGGAGTCGTCGTCGTCCTCTTCTGACTCGGAGCAAGAGCCTGAGTCTGCCGCCTCTGTCTTTTTGCCGTCTTCCCATGCGCCCCCACTTTCGTGGCCTCGCAGCGGCCATGCGATGCACCAGCTGCCTTTTTTCCCCACCTCCCCCCTATATGCTGTCACTTGGAACGCTCGTGGGCTCTTTTGCCGCTGTTCGAACTCGTCGTCATGTCAATGCCGCTGCTCGTTATCGAAAGTTTTTGGACTCTGTCGGAAAATGTCACGTCGTCTGCGCTCAGGAGACCCTACGGGCTTATTGCCGACTTAGCCGTTTTTCAGGGAGAGTTTCGAAATTCGAGTGTTGGCGGTGCCATGTTCTCTGATTCTACGCATGCTGGTGGTCTTGTCACTTTCATTGCCCCCACGCTCGCCCGGCAGTTTCACTCTGTCTCGCGTCATATTGTGCAAGAAGGGAGGATGCTTCTTAGTATTCTGTCTGGAGAGGGGAGTCTAGCTATCCTGAATGTGCACATGCCGAATACCTGTGAGCTGCTGCAAGTCTACTGTGACTCGCTTGACGAGCTCCTGGAAGTGTTTCCGCCTGCAGAGCAGTGATGCTCACTCATCCTAGGGGATTGGAACGTCACGCTTGAGGGGGGCGGCATGATGTTTCCAGGAGGGAGTGGGTGGTCTCACGGGGACGTGAATTTTCATGCAGTGTTTAATCGTAAATATGCTCACTTGATCAAGTTCTTTCAAGCTGATGATACGAGGCGCGAGCTGCGAGATGGTGCCATCGCCCACGCATCGCGCCTCGATCGCGTGTACTCATCGATTCCTGCTGCCTTTCTAGCTGACCTGAGTATCCAGACTCTAGTGATTGGTCAGCTGTGTCATGCTCGCACTTCTGGCCACATCCCCGTCTTAGCTCAGATCCAATCGTTCCGTCCACCGTCTGGAGATGATGCCATTCTCCCCGGGTGGTTGAGCAAGCGTGACACTTGTCAGCTAGTTCTCCAGCAAGAGCTCGATGCCCATGCCGCGGAGTTTGATGCGCTAGAAGCTGATGCTGCTCTCCGTCGTCTTAACGAGGTAACGCACTCAATCGCTCCAGGAGTCCGTCGTCGTCTCGCTAACTAAGTCGCCGAAAAGTTACCGGAGCAGCATCGCTGGTGTCTGGTTGCGCTCCGTGGCCTTCGTGCCCGGCAAGGCCATGTGCAATGTGAAGCGCTTGCCTGCTACCTGGCTCAGCAGGAGTTTTCTTCATATTGATGCAATGATATGCACTGACCTGCCAGGCGTCGGTTCCCACGCCCAGGAGCTGCATGTCAGGATTTTGAATGAGGGGGGGCCGGGTTCAGCGGGATGGGAGCACGGCGGAGGGCGCGAAGAGGTCTGCCCTGGGAAGGCCACGGCGTAAGCAGGAGCTCCGGCGAAAGCTTAGGCGCCGTGCCTATCTGACTGCTGTGGTAGATGGGCGCGGCCACCCGCGTACCACTATTTCCGGGTCTGCTGATGCGCTTGCTTCCCACTGTGGGTCCGTTTTGGCTGGCGTGCCCGCCGACCAGTCGCAGTGGGGCGAGATCTTGGCCAATGTGAAAGCCGCGCCTGTGGATGACGACGAGTCAGGATATGCCTTTTGGGGCTTAGACGACGATGAGTTTTTCCAGCTGCTTAGCTTGTGCCGTAATTCTATGCCTGGGCCGGATGGAATCCCCGATGTTTGCTGGCGTGTTGGAAATGCGCCCCGATATTCGTGCAGTGTCTATCGTGAGACTATCCGAGGGAAGATGTAATTTCCACCATCGGAATTGAAAGAGCTACTGCTGGTCTTTCTACCCGAGGGGAACAGGGGCGGGGATGAGGAAGGGAACGTTGCACGCGATTGTTCTAGCACTCGCCCGCTCTCGATGTCCAACGCTGATGCCGAGATCTTGTCTGGTGCCTTCTGCGGGGCTCTCAATATCCTCTCTCAGTCCACGGTGGCTCCACTGCAGACATGTGTAAAAGGTAGACAGATGCTCGCCAATGTTGCGCAAGCTGAGAGTTGGGGACTTCAGCAGCCTCTCTTCGGTCACGACAATGCCGCCGCCCGTTCTACGGACATTGCTGTTGCCTTCCCCTCCATCCTGCGCTCCTGGCTCTTCGCCGTCCTCACTGCTGTGCGGGTGCCACCTTTCATCCTGTGTTTCTACCAGATGCTCTACTTCAGAAATTTTGATGTGGTACCCTTGGGGGCCCGAGGTTTGGGGGTTTCTGCTTAGTCGTGGCGTTCGGCAAGGGGCCCCCAGCTCGATGGCTCTCTTCTGTCTATGCTTAGATCCTGTGCTTCGGTGGATGCAACACTCACTTCCTGTCCGCGTGTCGCTCTGCCTTGCCTACGCCGACGACTGTCTTTTTGGCGTGGTCAATGTTTTAAGGTCGCTGCAGAATATCTGGAGGCTTTTGCGTGTGCTTGAGGGCGCCATTGGACTTGCGCTCAACTGTGGCAATTGACCTGCTCTTCTCTGTGGGAGGGGCACGAGGGAGGCCGTGCAACAGAAGCTGATGTGCTAGGAAGGAGGTCTTGGGAGGGTCGGGTGCTGCTATTCACTTAAGTATCTTGGCCTAATCATTGGCCCTGGAGCTGCTGGTTTCGCTTGGAGAGCCCTGCTCTCCAAGTTTGTTGCTCGCTGCGCCGCGCTCCGTCAGCTCTCGCCTGGATTTGCAATCACTGTTGCCACGTTCCAGGTCATGTGCATGTCCGTCCTGCAGTTAGTCATGCAAGTGGAAGCCCTTGCCCCAACTGTGAAGAAAGTACACGAGCACATGCTCCAGACACTTACATGTGGGCCCTACAATGTTTTCTCAGAAGACATGCTGGTTTCCATGAAGAAGCTCGGCTTTCAAATCGAGACCCCTGAGATCACTGCTCTCTCTATTGCATTTCGTGTTCGTCCGGCCTACAAGTGTCCTGGGGTCGGTGACAGCTGGGCAGACCTGAAGCGTGTGATTGATAGTAACGCTGTGTGCTACGCCCGCGTTGTCGATATCCGCGGCTGTTATCAGAGCTCTTCTCTCCCAGATCTGTTTCAATCCGCTCGCCTCTCAGAGTTGATGCTTGACACGTTCCAGCGTAAGCTTTTTGTGCGTCTCCATGCTCTTCCTCTTCCTGGTCCCTCTCCTTTCGAAGGCCTCCAGTATCGTCTCCGCGGACGGCTGCCTGAAGTGAATTGCTCTAGCCTCTCGCACCTCGTCGTTCAGAACCGTCCCAATGCAGCAGCGTCCTCTCCCTACCTTGCCATGGGCGTGCTCCGTCTGTGTACTCGTGGTGTTTGCACCAGCGCGCGTTTCCACTCTACTCCTCGTGGTTGCATCTTCGGGTGTACGCCCAGTGAATATGGTTTCGACCTGTCCAAAGACTATGACGACCTTCGTCGCTACAAGTTCCGCCATCGCTGTCGAGAGATTCGAGTCAGATGGATGGGTTCACTACTTTCTGTTGCTCCTGTTATGAGCCTTTGGATTGCTTCCAGCATCCTTCTCCATCCCCTCCCCCGACTGTTTCGCTGCTGTGTGCTTGCATGTGTGACGTTTTTTTGGTATGCGCACCACGCTGCCAGACTCGGCCTGCCATGCCCCCCCCGCGCAGGCCTTTGAAACAACATTGCGTCTCCTCTCTCGGCGTCACTTGGCTGTAGCGAGTGCCTAGGGCGAGTGCAGGACTGGGCCTGGATGGCTCGTCCCGAGCTGACAGCCGAGGGGCTGTCGGGGTGCTGCGCGCTGTGAGGGTTTCCTGTCCTTGTCCGGGAGCCGCCCGTCGTAACGTGTGGGCGCGTGGTGGCCGAGCGAGCTTCTGAACGCGGGCCTTTGGCGTTGGCCGCTGTGCCACTGGGGTGGTCGAGCGACGATCATCTTGGGAGCGTGGCCCCTGGACTCCAAAACCTCTAGAATTTCCCTCTTTGGGTATATATATGTATGAAACCGATGATGCTACTGATGCTGAGGATGCTGCTGATGCTGATGACGCAATGATGGTGATGATGATGCTGATGATGCTGCTGTTGTTGCTGGTGATGCCAATGTCGATGTTGATGTTGATGATGATACTGATGCTGGTGCTCATTATGATGATGACGATGTTGGCGACGACAT